GATAATTAAACATTAAGCTTGGGAAGAGAAAAGTATGCATGTATATATATGCATGTAAAGCATATAAATGATATAACGTGTTTTCACGTATCTAAAAAGGTAAAAAAGTGATACTGATACTTGTATATTGATGATATTTTCCTCATATTTTATCACTAATTTTGGTTTTGGGTATTACTATATAATCCTACTTGTACTATATAATATGTGCTACATAGTAATTAGATTTCTTGATTTCTCTAATTTAGAGCATCGCACATCGATCGTAGAAAAGGTTTACTTTTGGTGAGGATGAGTCAAGTCAACCAATAACACTTTCATTTTCGTTTGCTCCCATTAAGCTTAACTAAACCAATTACAACTAGTGGTTGGATTTGTTAAAATTTTGCAATTATATTATGTTGATTAGTTCTTTATTTTTTTTCAAAAAAAAAAAAAGATTAGTTCCTTATTATTCGTTAGATAGCAACGTAATTGGAAAAATGCCGATTCCGATATCAAACTCAACGTGTTTCACCTTAATTCCGGTTATGCAATTCTCTACCCACTTCTCATGAATTCGTTGTCCACCTCTCTTCCTCTGAAATCTTCCAAAATCTGATCTAAATGATCTCATATTCAAGCGGAATCCAACACTAATCTCTTTGTCTCCACTCTCTTTCTGTCCGTCGAATTATGCTATCAACAAAGATGAATCCATTATAATTTAATCTTCTAAATGTTTTAAGGTTTACGATTGCCATATGAATTTCGAGTTTTAGTTAAATGTATTTCAATTTTTTTAAAATACATTTATTGATCCAACCAGTGCTGACAAAGAAAATATGAAGAAAAGAAGGACTCGAGACATGGCCATTCGAGCAAGCTGATAGTTGATATTTGTCTTGATGTTAATCGATTAGAGTATATGTCTGTTGCAATTAATGGTATTTATACTACCATCGATTTAAATGCAACATATATACTCTAATTTAGAACATCGCACGTCGATAGTGGAGAAAGTTTACTTTGGTGAGGATTGAGGACAAGTAAAATCATCCAACAACACTTACATATTCGTTTGCTCCCATTAAACCAATTACAAATAGTAGTTGGATTTATTAAAATTTTGCTACTATATTATGTTGATTAGTTCTTTATTATTCGATATCAGTGGTGACTGGTGAGTAGAAAGACAGCAACTTAATTGGAAAAATGGTCGATTCCGGTATGAATGACATGTACATGAACAAACAAAATGTGCATATATCCCATGCACAAAACTAAAACAAACCGAGTTAGTCGACCGTTCAAATTTGATGACTCAAATGATGTGTTAGAAAAACAAAAC